ATATCTACAGTATTCTAAATGCCTTACCCTGAAACACGAATCGCGTGATTTTAAACGTGCATTTAACTCATTTACCAATGAACAAGCTGAAGGCACTCTTCGTCAATTCTACAGTAGTTTGTACATGTAAACTGTGTGATATCACTACAAATCATCACTTCTATGTGACCCAGGCAACTGAATCGTCACCATAATCGGTAATCAGGTCTTTACTGGTTTAGCGAGGAAATTGTGTAAAAAGTGAAGTGAGACCGGATGACAGTGTTTTAAGAAATGAATTGCCCGCACCGCCATGTTTGGTGAGTAGAAGGGTCTATGACAAGATAATGTGTGAGGCAAAGCCGGGTACATTATCTCTTAAAGAGCCTTCTCTGAATTCAATATGATGCTGTTAGGTTCATCATTGTTGTTAAAAATAACCACCATGAGAAGTAAACAAATTTAGTTAAATTTTGGGTATTTTCGTTTGTGCGATAATGTAAAGCCATGACGTCATAACACTCTCTCAATATGATATTCTGATAATAGTGATTTATAACAGAGATTAATTACCGACTACGTCGCTTAAAAATTGAACACGTAATGCTGATCTGCGTTTCACTTCTCCTAGTTATGATTTAAATCATGGTGTTTAAACTTACTGTTTTCTGCTGGTAAAATGGCTTTGAGTGCATCCCGTTGTGCCTGAGAACGGATCTCAGCAAGTGTCCAAGAAGAAGATTCACATGCAGCCTTCGCGTCATCCCATGTCATTTCATCAGTGTAAACGATATACTCAGGAATACCTGGAAATGATATTAATTTTATAATAAGTCAAACTATGTTGATCATAATACTGAACAGATCAGACGAGAAAGAACAAACAAACAAATGTCTCAGCGATGTAGTGACGTCAACACATCTCGTGGGAATCGACAGCCGCAAAAGTCTGTCGAGGGTTGTTCCGCTCTTCATATTGCGCTAAACACATTTGATGATTGGCAATTTCGATGAAGTTAAGAGTATCTTAGCGCATTAATCTTTCTCGAAGATTTCAATATTTAGATATAAACATAATTCAAGTTCAAAGTCAATTCTATTTTTGCGACAGACGCGAGATTTTGCAGTCACCGTGAAAGGAAAATCTCCTATTCAACTGTCAACTTGTAATAATTTCTAAAATTATTTGTAAAATATTAATAGAAAATCAAATGAAAATCAGTCTCTACTGATTTTGGCTAGATAAAATATCCATACTTACATGCTGCTCGTCCTACAGTAGACCTCTGTGAAAATAAAACGTATGTAAATTTGTCTTACAAACTAAATTCACACAAACGTATGTAAATCTGTTTTACATACAAAATACACACAAATATATGTAAATTTGTCTTACAAACTAAATTCACACGAACGCATGTAAATCTGTCTTACACACTGAATACACACACATATATAAATCTGTCCTACATACTAAATTCATACACACATATTTAAATCCGCATTACATACTAGATTCACACAAATATATGTAAATATGTCCTACATACAAAATTCACACGGATATATGTAAATCTGTCTTACATACTAAATTCACACACATAAATGGAAATCCGTATTACATACTAAATTCACACAAATATATGTAAATCTGTCTTACATACTAAATCCACACAAATATATGTAAATCTGTCTTACATACTAAATTCACACACATAAATGGAAATCCGTATCACGTACTAAATTCACACAAATATATGTAAATCCATATTACATACTAAATTCACACAAATATGTGTAAATCTATCTTACATACTAAATCCACACGTATATATGTAAATCTGTCTTACATACTAAATTTACACAAATATATATAAATCTGTCCTACATATTAAATTCACACACATATTTAAATCCGTATTACATACTAAATTCACACAAATATATGTAAATCTATCTTACATATAAAATCTACACGTATATATGTAAATCTGTCCTACATACTAAATTCATACACACATATTTAAATCCGTATTACATACTAAATGCACACGAATATATGTAAATTCTTTTCTACATACTTAATTCACACGCAGATATTTAAATCCGTATTACATACTAAATTCACACAAATTTCTGTAATCTGTCTTACATACTAAATTCACTCAAATATATATTACCATGTGAGGCTTGTTATGCTGCATCTTACAATCATATATACACACGGTTTTAGTAATGTTTCGAGTCGGATTTACGTTCCAGTTGACAAGTTGATTATTTATATATATGTAAATATATGCATGTTTAGCATGTAATATCTTATTCATTGACGAGAGAGACTATTCAACCATATTTGCTGGTAGAAATTCAACGACTAACTTTATTTGAACAGATTATGTGGCAAATGCCACTTTCTCACAGGTGTTGTCTGGGTTTGATTGAAAAACTGGCAAAAAAAAAGAATTACTTTAAAACCTGTTTCACAAAGACTTTACATATTAACTCGTATTAATCAGTTTAAACATGGCTTTTAGACGATAGACTATCACTCCCGTTAAGAACAAGTAATTGAATTACATTGTTCATTAGTTATCAGAACGAAATATAATTTGAACGCGAATATTCAGAACATGTCAAATATGGATTCAAAATAGTTCAGGTATATATTAAAAACTATAAGCTGAAAAAAATTCAGACATGCCCCACATCTAGTTGTGGCAAAAATGCTGGATCTTTGATGAGTTTTAACCATATAATAGTTGTTACCATCTAAAACGAATATTGAATATTCAAAAGAATATATTTGCATATGTGTGACAAAGTGTATATATAAATTTCGAACATGGTCGGGCAGGCATATCAGATATGACCAGATCTACTTTTTGTTTTGCCATGAGTACGTTCGCGGCGCTCCCTGGGGTGCCCCAAACGACGTGGCAGTAGTGACCCGTGGAAACGAGAGTTCCCCGAGGAAGCAGATGTATTGGTCCGTTGCTATGCGCGCGAAAGTCGTGTGAAATGCATAACATTTATTTTAAAAAATCACGCCCAGTTGCATTTTATGTTTGAAAAAATGACAACTTTTTCAACTGTTGATTCCGTCGTCGTTTTTCCCACACTTTCCCGGCTCTGCAAGCACGGGTGGTAAAAATTGTACCAAGTTGCTCCAGTTGTGACGTCACCCCGGGGAAGGCACTGGCATTTCAGTTTGGTAGGGGTGTGCGGTCAGGAAGTAAAGCCCCAGACCCCATCATAGATCATTTTCACCTTGAAAACCATACCCCTTCATAGACCAAATAGTGATTTTTTATATCCCAAATTGTCCAAAAAATATTTAGTTATAGGTTGAATCTAAACATCATCCGGACTCATCAATCTGAATAAATGGCCAATCCAAGGGTAATAAAAACAAAAAAGGGTACTTTTCAACACACAGCATTTTATTTGAATCACAACAAGTTGTTGTTTGTCAAAGTGATCAGGAGAACCAGTAAATGATCAGTAAACTCAGGAGATCAACCACTATTTTGTTGACATTGATAGTATTTTGGAATGTTTTGCATTTGTTACTAATTATTTCCTGAGCTCTCTGTCCTGAAAACAGACCCCATCCTAGGCCGGCTAACCTGATATAACCAAAATGCAAGCAAATCTATACTATACTGATCTATACAAATCTATCAATTTGCGACCCAAAAGGGCGGCACGTCCCCATAATGTTATTTGAATTTAGTGACCCCCTCCCCAGGGACGTCACATAACAGTCGAACTAAAACTGGGCAGACGCCGGGCGCTCGCGTCACTCTGAGACGACGACGACGCGTTCGCACTCCACGTTGAATCGACGATTGAATTCTACGTCTCCTGTTCAGGATCTGTTTTTTCATTGTTTCAATATTTTAAATAGATTTTAGCATTGAATGTAAAAATATTTGAGATAATTATTTTAAATGAAACAAAAGAATTTAAACAAACGCGGAATACCAACATTTTTTGTGGAAAATGTCGCCTGTTCCTAGGTCAGGTCATAAGTCATAGACTCTGTAAGGGAGAGTGGGCCCCTCGATGCCCGATGTATGTAGGAACTTTGAGCAAAATCCCTCCACACTCGGCAAGATCCAGTTCCAAAATGGAAAAAATACTGAATTTGGATCATTTTTGTTACATTAAAGTGGCCGCCGTCCGGCCTTCTTGAATCGTATCGAAAATTGGATGAACGTGCATATTTATCCAAGATATGGAGTTTGTTTGTGAAGTTTGAATGCGATTGGTCCTGGCATGTCTGATATCCAGACAGAGAAGCACGAACGTACGCACGCACGGACGCACGCCAAAATGCAAGACTTGATAATGTGGGCACTATCCACAAGTTGAACAGACATAAATGTATGTTATTCCGACACAATTAAGTGCGGGTACCAATATGTTATCCAATATATTCCAACTTACTTGCGTACAAATGAGCAAATTTTACGAACATTTCATAAACTTTAAAACGCAACATAGATACATCCATCACAAAGTAAACATGATCAGAAAAACACTCAAGTTGGCGTAGTATATTATCTTTGCGAGAATCGGTGGTCGTGAATTTATACACTCATGTCCATGGTTACCGGCGTACTTATGAGCTATCGAACGTTAACGCTGCATATTTTAAATGTAACAGTGGTACTTAAAACTTGACTACTGACTGGAATCAATCAACGTCGATTCGAACATAGTTCGCGTTTATGCTAGACGAATTAACCAGACAGCAGGAGCCTCCCTTGATCATTTCAAAAACACGTATCAAAGCCAGATGCTGAAAAAGCTGAATAAAATGCGTCGCCTTTTTTCGCTCACTGGTTGCAAAAGTTGTGAGCTGGGTGTATTTTTTTGCTGAACACACTTGTGTTTAGAAGTAGGTATATAAATAGAAAAAGAGGTTTAAACGTGAGTATAAATTACGAAAGGTGGGCTGCACACCCCTACCCATTTAAAGTGAAAGTATCCCCCAGACTACTAAGAGATCAAAATACTTATTGTGAACGTACCTTTATTGGGTCAGCTACGACGAAACCACTAACAATGAGTATCACCAGTACGCGTAACATTATTCGTATCGTTGACGCAGTCTTCTTGCTCAGAGAAATCGGAGTAGAATTCGATGTGCAGAATAAGACAATTCGTCAACCATTTATAGACGTTGTGTATCCAGGGTGTTTTGTTTCTATTGGTTGTTAATCATTATAACACGTGTGTGAATACAAATTAATATTCGTTCGTGTTGTGTGTTGTAGCTATTAGGACCATCAGTCTCCAAATAGAATATATCGTGTGAGGGGCATAATATTTACTCGTGTACACACGGCATTACTGGTCGAAACACATGTCTGTAACGCAATTTATAAAAAGCTTGAGAAAGTATTGTTTCAACATATAAATAACCATGTGTTACGTGCTGGGTTCTGCGACTTTTACGATATTTCACTTTAGTATAACACGCAACAAGAGTAGGCTTGGATATGACAAGCACATTGAACGGTTATATTCTTATTCAAAAACACATATATATTACATGAGATAAATAACAAAATAACACAACTGTAATGAGTATATTTTGGTGTGATATCATAGACAACTCCTTTTGATCATATAGGCGTCAAGAAATGTATTCCCAATTGTTCTTACTGTAAAGAACATTCAAGTGATTGGAGAGACGTACTTCCACCATCATGTACTTACCATGTTACTATAGGTCAGGTTAAGCATTGTACTGATATGTCACCTGACAGCTGGTGAATGTAATATCATGTATTTACCATGTTACTATAGGTCAGGTTAAGCAATGTACTGATTAGTCACCTGACAGCTGGTGAAAGTAATATCAAGTAGTTACCATGTTACTATGGGTCAGGTTAAGCATTGTACTGATAAGTCACCTGACAGCTGGTGAAAGTAATATCATGTATTTACCGTGTTACTATGGGTCAGGTTAAGCATTGTACTGATAAGTCACCTGACAGCTGGTGAAAGTAATATCAAGTATTTACCATGTTACTATAGGTCAGGTTAAGCACTGTACTGATAAGTCACCTGACAGCTGGTGAACGTAATATAATGTATTTACCATATTACTATAGGTCATGTTAAGCACTGTATTGATAAGTCACCTGACAGCTGGTGAAAGTAATATCATGTACTTACCATGTTACTATGGGTCAGGTTAAGCATTGTTCTGATAAGTCACCTGACAGCTGGTGAAAGTAATATCATGTACTTACCATGTTACTATGGGTCAGGTTAAGCACTGTACTGATAAGTCACCTGACAGCTGGTGAACGTAATATCATGTATTTACCATGTTACTATGGGTCAAGTTAAACATTGTACTTATAAGTCACCTGACAGCTGGTGAAAGTATTATCATGTATTTACCGTGTTACTATGTGTCAGGTTAAGCACTGCTGGTAAGTCACCTGACTGCTGGTGAAAGTAATATCATTTATTTAACATATTTCTGTAGGTCAGGTTAAGCACTGTACTTATAAGTCACCTGACAGCTGGTGAAAGTAATATCATGTATTTACCGTGTTACTATGGGTCAGGTTAAGCACAGTGCTGGTAATGCACCTGACAGCTGGTGAAATTAATATCATGTATTTACCGTGTTACTATCGGTCAGGTTAAGCACTGTACTGATAAGTCACCTGACAGCTGGTGAAAGTAATATCATGTATTTACCGTGTTACTATGGGTCAGGTTAAGCATTGTGCTGGTAAGTCACCTGACAGCTAGTGAAAGTAATATCATGTATTTACCATGTTACTATATGTCAGGTTAAGCACTGTACTGATAAGTCACCTGACAGCTAGTGAAAGTAATATCATGTATTTACCATGTTACTATATGTCAGGTTAAGCACTGTACTGATAAGTCACCTGACAGCTGGTGAAAGTAATATCATGTGTTTGCGATATTACTATGGGCCAGGTTAAGCATTGTACTGATGAGTCAAGTTTTGGAATTTTTCATTGCCCAATGACGGATATTTCAATTTACAATTGTTATTCCTAACATATAAACTTGTGCTTATGTCGATAATCGTGTGTGTCTGTTCTGAAGACATGCTAATAGTTCTGAATAGATCTGAGACACAAGAAGCTGCCGATGGCCCTGAGAGCGAACGGGCAGTATGACTTTTTTATTAAACAGTAACGTCTGAATTCAAATTTAAAAATTACGAGGTACACACTGCAATGTTTATTCTCGTCCACACGTCAGCTACCAGCTGATTTAGTCAAAGCGAATACCAACAACTTTCACTTCTCTACATTACGGTATGTACGCAAATAAAGATCGATTGTCAAAGCACTGGCCTCAATTGGAGTAAATGCAAAGCTACATACATGATTTTGTCTGATTCCCTACCTTATCTTGACAGTCCGTCCAATTAATCACCAGCTTGTTTATTAACATTTTTAGCCAATATTTAACTACAGTACTACAAAAAACACGTGATTTTACGGTTCCGCGTTTTAACTATATGCTGATAAGGCATGTGTGGTTACAACCGTCGATGGTTTTAAAAAGCTCTTCTTAGCGATAATTTTTCAAAATAAACTTCAATTTGTCATTATCACGTGTTCTTGAGCTCTTTTAGCGATATAATTGTTATCCTGACCCATTATTAAACGATAATGACGTCATAAATACCGTTTCGTTCAGTGCAATAAAATATATTAGTTGGCGATATCTTAGATTAGACGTCTATTAATTAACCTTTTCATCACCAGTTTCTTCATTTTCATGACAAATTCACAAAATAATCGCGTTTATAGTCTGCACTTTCCTTCATAAGTTTGGGACAAATAGCAATAAGTATAGTTCATTTCCAGAAATTGAAAAAGCAAATTTGGACGAGAAAGTCAAAATCAGGCCGAACAGAGCGTACATAGAGTCGGGGAGTTTCTAGCTGATATCACACTCATACTTTCATGTTATATTTGATACTGTCACCATTGATGCAAGGTCAAGCGGACTGACAAGAACCCATGTTATTGTAAATTTGCTTTATTATTGTACATTTTATATATTGAAATGACACAGTCTTGTGTGTTTGTGTGGTCTTCCCGATCCCGCACATTTGCACATATAATTGGGGCTATATTCCTCTTGGTTTAAACAACGTATAAGATAAAAAGATATAATGATAAAATGTAAAAGTACGTTGGGTTCACAACATGGGTTTGCTAACACTGCCAAGGAAAATCAACAGTATAGCTATATTTAGGGAATGAATTACGACGCCATGTCAACTGTCAACAACAGTGCAAGACGGAGATGCAAAAATAACTCATATCCATTATAATACCCGGAAATACCGAACAATTGAATATACGTGCAGTGGTAGACTGGGAGGAAAGAAATCGACAGTGTAGTAAATGCATCGTATTGTACTTACGCGTGGAACGTTCACGAATTTGAAAATATCCATAGAAAAAGTCATAGAGGTTTTTGTTTAACGGATTCGTACAAATCTGCTGAAACATTTGATATAACTGCGCACCATTGTTTTTCATATGTACGAACGTCAAGCACTCTCAAGGTATTATCTGATCAGCGCTTCTGTGTTATTCCTAATAACTTTGGATTTCTAAAATAAACTTTGTCATCAATCGTTGTCTGTTGTTCGCGTGCATGGCCATATACGTCATTGACCCAGCATGACATCATTGATGTCATATTTTGGGATGAAAATGAAACCATCAGTATTTCAAAGTCCATGGTGCTGTAGTCAAATCGCGTTAATAGTGTGCGGCATGGCAAAACTAAATCTACGTGTTTTCAACTAAACACTGCGTCACGTGTAACAGTATCTGCTGCGGGTATTTTCCATAGCTTTTTTTTTGACCAGTCGGATTTCCACCGACCATGTCTCTTAGGACATCTATCCGAAACGCCGGCGTAGGCGGCAGCTATGACGTTGTCTATTCTGAGTGAATGAGTGTAGAAACCCGAAGAGTTCGAATGCCAGTCTGCTTCCAGTAATTTCCCTTACTCGTAAATAGCTCAGCATTTTGTTGGCATGAACAAAAAAGTAACCATCTTTGAGAAAAATAATGGTCTAAAGATAAAAATAATCTTACACATCAGGGATACCTGCGACACTGAGATACTAGACCAACTTTGCTACTAGCAAGTAAAATTACCAGTTATAGCAATTTTGACCATGCTGATCGGTTTATACTGATCATTCTTGCTAATGTATTCATTTCTATTAGATAATAATATGACTCGGGTGCGGTTAACAGGTTCATTTCACGACTGCTCACTAAACATTGCAAAATGGAATACATTCATTCGAGACCACCATACACTGCACTTTCATAATACGTTACAAATAATAATGTTCACTAAATCTTGTTAATGATATTTTTCGTTCTTTTTAAAAGAATGCGACTAATTATTGTTTCCCCTGTGTACTGTTTCACCAATGTCGCATAAAAACACTAAGAGATATACATAAAGATTTATATTGCTCTGATGTTCCAAATAAACGTCATCGAATCCATTATTCTGATCATACTAGTTGGTAGAGAGTGTGCTATAATGATACATCACGCCACGACAAGGCAGGCAAAGGATTAGATTTAAATTATGACGACATTCTCAACAACAATGATACACATGCTTGTGAGCAACGTGAATCAACATGCCTTCATGAACAAACAGAATATTCTGGGAATTGAAAAAAAACAATTCAATGGTCTGTTGGTGGTCATATTCTCATATTCGCTGAAAGCTAAATTGTGATTAATATAGTATTTTTTTATTTTACAGACTACGTCTGAAAGATAGCTTAGAATTGGCTAATAAGATCGAACAAATGTTCATTAAATGTTACAAAAATTACTCTCTGAATAAATTTCTAAATGATTAAACTATAATCCTGCTATTTCGTTTTTTTAGAATTCCGTACACAAGTAAAAACTACTACAGACTAAATATAGATGCGAGTCATTAAGTATGCATCTAGTTCTCAACGTTTCGTGAAAGTATATGCAATAATTTGGCAGAGCAAGAATTTCTGTTGCTTCTTGCTGGAAAAAAGAAGGTATTTTTGAGTGTGTATTATTCATTAATGATAATTGAATTCATATAGGCTGATAATAAAAATATAATAAATGGCTTTTTCTAAAGACGAAATGAATTAGTCACGCTAATTACAGTGACTGTAAAGGAGGAATTCTC